ATGGTGGCGAAACTGGTTTCATTGCTCTTTGGGCCAGGCCATATTGTTGTTCGATGGATTCGCTGCATGAGCCACGGCGCACAGGGCGGCACATGGGGTATGCAAGGCTGAGGGGAAAGGTTGAAACGGCTGGGAAAATGTATGCTTAAAGGAAGGAAAACCAGAGAATAAAGAAAGTACACTTGGATATAGAAACCCACAGAAGAGAAGCCATCAACTGTTTCGTGTTTGGAACCCAGCTATAACTTTATTCCACTTGCTTGCAGTAGATCGACCATGGGGTATGACTGATCCTTATGCTTAAAGTGTATTCGCTTTACGAAGTAAAACGCCCGACATATAGATACAGATACAGGCAACCAGCTGATGTACGTAAATCTAATAGTTTAAACTGATGAATAGTGGGAATGAATGAAGAGAGAGAGGGCGAGACCTAGAGAAGTTCAATTAAATATATTCTGTCAGTAAATGTTAGTAAATAAGTTCAATTATAATTTTAACCGTACTCACTCTTAAATGTTACTACGTATTCTGAATGTTTAAATGTTAATAACTATTACAAGTGTTGTGACCAGCGCCCTAATTTATAAGTATTAATATGCTTGTCGCGCTAGGAGGGAAAATAAAAATATACAAATATACGAGGTTTACTTACGGGGTATCCCTGCTGTGTCATACCCTCCGAATGCTCTCGTACGCATATGTGGCCATGTGCAAATTACCTGAAAAGGGGAACGAGTCAAATTAAAGATGGGAAAACAAAAACCAAAAAATTAAAAGAAAGCCTGATTTTCCCTTGGGGTGGGCTAATAAACAGCGAGAGAGTGCGGGAGAGGGAGAGTGAGAGAGAGGGAGGAGCTGGAGTGGAGGGGATAAGCCATCAATTTTCCGGGCAACACTTTTGCTGCTCGTTCTGATCGCCTTATTAACTCATTGGCGTGGTGTCAATTTACACAAACAACACGAAACAAAGGCTGAAATATGGCCACATTACCCACCCATCCAAATCCCCATGCCCCATGCCCCATGCCCCTGCCCATTCCCTCCTTCAGGCAATTCTCTTTGTCTCAAATTTCGAACAGGGGTAGGGCGCCCGCTAGTAGGTGATGGAAAAATGCCCGTCTCCGACTCCGTCTGCGACTCTGGCAGGACTCTGCACACTCCGGGGACCCCAATTGGTGGCTACATCTTAAGTGTTGCTAATAACGCCTACAACTAAAAACAGCTGCGGGGTGGGTTGGTGTGCTGTGCTGTGCCCTCTGCTCTCTGCTGCTGCCACGCTGCCACGCTGCCATGGTTGAGCGACACTTTTAAGAAATTGCAAAGTTTTCGTAACAAAAGCAGACGCCCGCCCCGCCCCGCCCGCCTTGAAGCGAATCAGGCGAGGGTGGGAGGGAGACTTGAACAATACTTTGATGCGATTTTGCGGATATTAGGTGTTAATTTTTCAAAGAGCCAACGACATCGTACTCCAGCTCCCCAACACCCCAACACCCCAACACCCACTCCACACACCCACCCACCAGTCGTGCGGCAAGTGGAGGGAAGCAGCGTCGGGTGTGCCATTTGGTGGCCTGTTGCCATTGCCATGGCACTCTGCCTTTTGTAATTTTAACTGCTTTTGGTTAACACTTTTACGCATTGCCAACTGCTGCTCCTCCTCCCCCTACCAAGCAGCAGCAGCAGCGCCCTTGCTGCCAGCAGCCATCGATATCACATGGCAACCCCGCCTGCCACATTGCCACCTTGCCACACAGCCCCACAGCCCCACAGTGGCTGCCCCCTTTTGTCTTTTGCCAGCAAGTCATCGATGGGAAAACTTTTTGGCAACTTTTTCTCTTGGTTCACTTTTTTGTGTACTTTAATTGCCCCCCAAGGGGCGGCGAGATCTGGTGGAGCAACAAGCCCCTGCCTGAGTTACTGTTCTGTCAACAAAGGAGTTGTGTGGTTGTGGGGGATGGTGCTGCCATTTATTGAGCATTTTAGCCTTTCATCGATGCTTTCAGCTGAAATTATTTTGCTCATTTTAATTATTACGAGTATAACCGCCAAGCACAGCGCAGGCAGCCCCGAACAATGGCACTGAGCGGCGGCTGAGTGGGTGTGGGTGTGGGGGTGTGGGTGTGGGTGGAGCCATTTGCAAGTGGGCGCAACACACACAAATTTTAACGGTTATGCCTGCCACCCAAAAGGGGTCCGCCCACCGAGCAGCCTCTGGTCGCCTTTGTTGTGGGTCCTCCCCCTCCTCCTTTGCGGCTCCTCCTTTGCGGTGCCTGGTGGCGGTGGATCGTTTAGAGGGTGTTGCCGTTTTGCGGTGAGTCCCCCCCCCACCAGTCCTAGGTCCAGGACCTCACTGTAGACCAGCCCTGGGTACGCGATCTGCCCAGTGGTTGGGACCTCTTTTATTGGCAGCTCCTTTGAACATTTCAATGAGCAGAGAATCAAATTTGGAACTACAAAAATATACAAAATACAGAAGACAATCAAAAGATTCCCGGCCCAGCGAGGCATCGCAGCACAAAGTAGAGTATCTTGTGGGCCACGCCCGCGCTCCGCATCTTTTGCTCGTAGCGCTTTTCCCCAGTTGCCCCATGCCACGCGTAGAAGAGGCAAGCAAGGACTGCACCATTGACCAGCAGCCCAAGCAGGATGTATGCGCGACCAATGCCAGACCGATGCCAGTAGTCTGCTTGGCAATCATACACAGTTACGACTAACCATCCATTCAGCTATCAGTGTAAGATACTCACCCAACTTTTGTCTTATTTTCACGAAGGTCTCCCTTAAGGTTGAACGTCTGCGGACTGCCTTCAGTTGAAGCCATGGCCAGGGCCGTCTCCATTACAGCGGCTTTGAAACTAGAATTTAAGTGCTTCCTAATCGTTGCCATCGCATCCCTCTTGGCCGCCTTCTGCGCCTTGGAGCGCCTTCTGGTGGAAATCAATCGAGCTCTGCCATAAATGGGATACGATGGATAGTTCGCATTATGCGTGTGGCCATGGAACCAGCCATCGGTGGCAACCTCCGCACTGGCATTGGCACTGGCTCTGGCACTGGCACTGGCTTTGGCACTGCACGCCGAGTAGTCGGTGGATACCGACTCCGAGTCGAGCACAGCCACGCATGTTGATTGAGTGCTGAAAATAGACCAAGATTGGATTGACTTTCGAGCTGAGTTTTCCACACAATTACTTGGATGTTGCGGCGAAGTGAAGGTAAGGCATTGGGGAAATCGATCTGATCTGATGTGTTTCGTCTCTCGTATTAGGTGCAAGCGACTGGAAGGTACAGGGCTGCTCTGTATGTCCCTTTGTCAGCAGCAAAAACAATTTCCCTGTAGGCTGAGCTCTAACTTTCAGTGTCACAAACACCAAACAAAATCTGGGAACTCTTTTCCTGTGTCTGCAACGTAAGTCTCTCTCTCTCTCTCTTGATGCCAGCTGCGTGCAATCTTTCTGTACTCCCGACAGAGCTCTGGCCTCAAGCGTCTCAAGCGTCAAGGATCTGATCTGAACTGCACTAACTGAATCGAAGCCATGTGCGTGCTCTTCTACATAGTCGTCATCGTGCTGCTCATACTCGTCATCACAATGATTGTGGTGCATTGGCATACATAGCTCTGGCGCGGGACAATGTGCAGCTGAAATAAATGTTTTTATTTTCGGAGTATTAGATGGATAACTCTGGTACACTCTTTTCGGGGGTATTAGACGAGGGTAAATCTCTGCCTGTCTCTCTGTCTCTCTGTCTCTTGGTGGTGCTGCTGCTGCTCACAAGTTGTTGGTGTTTTATTACGAGAAACATTTGCATACTCGCATAAGACTGCTCTCGGTCGCTCTCTCGCCCTCTTGCTCTGGCTCTGGCTCTCTATAATTAACTGAATATTTATTACTGCGGTAGATAAAATGTTATGCGGCTATTATTTTGGTTTTATGGGCAACCAAGAAGCCAACAAGCAACCTGGTCTAGGTGGGCTTAAGCCCAGCCCCAGCCAAGTCGAGTCCCAGAGCCAGAGCCAGAGCCAGAGCTCCAGTCCGAGAGCCCAGGGCTAACAGCGAGACTCGGTCGGAGTCGCAGACGGAGACGGAGCTGGAACATGAGCATGAACATGGCAGACCACCAACATGGAGCCAGCTTGAATATGCAATCCGAGCCAAAATGCATTCCCCGCCAAAAAATGGAAGCAGCAGGAGCAGGAGCAGGAGCGGCAGCAACCGCCATTGAGGACACAAACCATTGGAACAAGCGGCACCAATTACGCCCACGAAGACATCGCCCAAGGAGAGAGTGTGGGGGGGGATTGGATTCCAGTTTGGGGCTGGCTCTTGGTCTGGGGACTGCGCGAAACAATCGCTAATTGTTTTAGAGCCCCGCCAGATGGAAGGCAATAAGGTGTGAAATTCCAGCAGTTCAGCCCCCTCCCGCCACAGCCACAGCCTACAGCTACAGTTTCATCTCCGGCTATGGCTACGGTTACGGTTACGGTTATGGTAACGGCATCGACATCGTCGCCTGTCCAAAAGTTTTTGCGCTGGCAGCTGATAAGGCTGCAAAGTTGTCTTGCATGAGCGAAAATTACGCATTCGCCGTGTTGTCTTACATTTGCCTGCTTGGGCTTATTACTCATACGCCATATGGCAGCGGCGGCTGCTTCCGCGTAATTATAAACGTTTCACGTGGCGGCAGGCGCTCAGCTCTGCCCAGCTCTGCCCAGCTCTGATCAGCTCTGCTCTGCTCTGTCCTCCCCAAAGCTTTGCCATGTTCCATAATTGATCCAAATGTCAGATGCCGGAATCATTCAGCAATTGCACAATAAATAATGATTTAATACACTCAGATTTGGCGATTGTTTTGCCACTTTATAATTGCCATCCGGACGTTGATCCAACGCCCCACATAGTTCTCCCCCAATTTCACACCACAGTTGGCAAAGAGCGAGGCTGCTGACGGCAATTAGACACGCTCCGCTGGCCGATCGGTGTCGCCCGGTATAAAAGCCAATGTGCGCCGCCAGTCAGGCCATCAGTGGATCCACGGGAACAGACGAGCGAACCGGAAAGATGCATTTCAACCTTCATTGCCTGATCAGCCTGCTGCTGGCGCTGCTGTGCGGCGCCCTTGTGGTGAGTTAGCAAATGCCAAAGCCAGAACCATTCCCCAGCCCGCTTAACCCTCGTTGTGTGCTCTTTAGAGTGCCTATCCCCAGGGTGGTCCCTGCGGACCGCCCCCCAGTGGCCCGCCGCCATCTGGACCACCGCCATCGGGACGCCCGCCAGGCGGTCCGGGCGGACGCTGTGGCCCGCCGCCCTCGACAACAGCTTCATCGGGCTAAGAACTCCAAGCCCAACGCCCAGTTGCAGTCCCAGTCCCAGTTCCGGCACGACACGTTCCATGCGAAACTTCCTATTGCTAAGTGTATCCTCTCCCTGTTCTGTGTAGTTTTTTTTTGTTTTTTTGCTCAATCCATTCTAAAATATATACGTGTGTAATCCCGCTGAAACGATGAGGACTTGGACTGACCACCACATATCGATCAACGCCTTCACTTGCAGACACCAAACACTGCACCTTCCCCGTCAGGGAAGCAAGACTGCGGATTGGAATTAAGTTAAGGCTGTGGTGGGGGTTTATTTGAGGTCAAACCCCACAGCTTTGGAGTCACCTGCTGGTGCAGCAAGTGAACTCTTTTTTCAGGCACACAAAAATATTTCAACTTGTAAATTTATTGCCAGGCGAGTAGTTCGGTGGTTCAGCCAAGCAATAGCCAACGGCCAGTGAACCGTGCAGTAGAAGCTCAGAGCTGCAGAAAGAAATGAAAGGGAACGCCAGAAGGTTAAGGGGTACAAAGTATCCATCCACAGGATACATACCCATGTCCCATTGAGCGACGATAATCAGCTGAGTGGTGAGCGTTGTGCAAGCCAAGTCTGCCTGCAAGTAGATTCCCCAGCTGCATATCTGAACTCCCAGCTACAGGGGGACGTGGACTCACCCATTCACATGCAGAGAGCAGCAGAAAGCCGTACCAGAAAACTGTTAGCCCTCGGCCAGAGGTACACAGAAAATATCAGCTTGGCCAGGCAGAGTGACGTCAAGACCTTTGACGGCTTTGGGCAATATTTCTGCCTAGAATGACAGCTGATTGCTGATCATGGGAATCAGTGTGCCACAGTTGCAGTGTCAATCAGGGATTATGTTCTCCATCGCTCATCACTGCCAAAGGACTCCCTTGGGGGGCTGCCTGTCCGTCCACAGCTCACAGCTCAATCTAGTTTGCATATTTTTGCGTGTATTCGAGGCTGTAAATTATCACTTGGCCACCACCATCGCCACCACCACTCCTTGGAGCCACCTAAAGCACCCACCAGTCGATATTAAAAGAGATAAAGTTTTATTAGTTCTGCGGCGGCTGTGTGGGGTGGTGGGGGGGGTGCCAAGGGCGGGCGGCGGCAAATATAATAAAAGTAATAAAAGAAAATATGCAACAGACGCAAACAGATACACAGATACATAGACAGACACACACACAGATACGCACTCACACAGAGCAATGAAGATGCAGATGAAGTTGAAATGTAAATTTGGTCCGAATGGAAAGTTCCGTTTCAATGATTGCAAACGGAAATGGGACCTCGTCCCTCGTCCTTCGTCCATGGTCCTTGGTCCTTGGTCATTCGTGTATTCTGCCGGGGGAATGAATGGCAAATGAAACGCAAGTAAATACGATAAATAAATGTTTAAATAAATAAGTAAATAAATATGTGGAGGAGAGTCGCCACCAGCCACCAGCCGCCAGCCACCAGGCACCAAAAACCACACCAAACCAAAGTGGTGGTGGGGGGGGCGAGGAGTGGAGCAGCGGACAAAAAGTCCAAATGTAATAATTAAATTGCATTTTGCGTCTGCGGCCAAACAAAATGGCGGCGAATGGTGAATGGCGAATGGCAAATGGTCCGTGTTCGAGTGAAAGCCTGTGCGACCTGTGCAGCACCTGCCTCCACCTATGAAGCCGTCAGCCGCATACCCTGCCATGCCGAAGTGCAATTAAAGGGCGCCACGAAGCAGCTAGATTTATTAAGTCCAAATTGGAGAGACTTCGGACTTGACGTGTCTCTTTTTCGGTCATCTTTCTGCCATAGCGATCAGCCACTGGATATACCCTTGCACTGGCATCGATAGAGTGCAGCATAAATATTTATGCGACCTCGGCCATTGGTTCAAATGCATTTTCCACCGATTTTTTTTCTTTTCTGCCTTCTCCAGATTCACTTCGATTCAGCTCCTCTCCTCACAGTGGATCTCTGCCCAGAACTCTTCCGCAATGTGAACCATCCGAGTCGAGTATATCTTTCTGCTGATTGTGCGCATCAATTGCGGATCTCGGTTGGCCGGTTGCACGGGGGTCAAAGGCTTGCATTTATTTATCATTCAATTAAATATTTAAAATACCAAAAAATGCTTTCACCGCCATCCAACTTATTTAAATTTCAGCCTCAATCACACGGCCCACACGACCCACGCACACACCTTTAATATTGAAATTGAAATCATAAATAAATGAGAAAATTCGCGCTGCTTGCGAGTGGTGAGAGTGGGAGAGAGGAGTGAAGGAGTGAAGGAGTGAAGGTAGAGAGGAGCTAGCCTGGGTCTCTGGGGCGGATGGTTTATTTTCTGTGGCACTCTGTGTTTGTGTGTGTGTGTGTGTGTGTGTGTGTGATTCGCATTCGCTGTAAATTTTATTGTTATATATATGGTTTGTATTTATACACATTTATTTTTTTTTTGTTCTGTTTCGCCTTGCTGTACGGACGGGGCGGCACTCGCTGCCCTGCCGCTGTGTTTGTAAAATTAATTGACATTTTATTTGTTAATTAATTGTTATAGCCATGTTGTTGTTTGGTTCGCAGCGAAACAGCGAACCAGCGAGCCAACCAACCATCCGGGCCAGTCCCAGTCCCAGCTCAGTCCCAGCCCAGTCCCAGCCAATGGTCCCGTAGTCCCTGCCAAAATGGCTAAATGACCAAATGGCCAAATGGCTTTTCATTATTGTTATTACAAATGCCGCGGTCATTATTATTTGCTCGTTAAGCTCACCTCAGCCTCCGTGCAGCACCCCGCAGCCGCACCCTGCACCACGTTGCGACCGAAATGCAATGCATTTGTAAATTAGTTTTGTAGTTTTAATTGCAAAAATTGTTAATTTTCTAATAATTTATTTATTTATTTATGTTCGCCGTGAATGGATGGATAAACCCGCAACGGAATATATGCTAAAGGGTCGTACGTACAGTGGTACCATGGTACAGTGGCTGCTGCCTGCTCCGCTGCTCGTTTCGAGTCCCGTAACTGGAACTATGAGTTCTCTCCAGCATCCACCATCCTCGAGACATCTTCCTTGGCGGCATAAATATAATACAAAATATTCCACATATATTTTTATACTTTTAAGTTGCTTTTAATATTTTTTCTTTATTTTTTTTGGCTTGGGGGAATTTGTCTCCGATTTATTTCGGTTTCCCTACAATCAATGTTTGCCGCATACTTTTAGGAGCCATAGCTAAAATCTCAGAATATTCGCATATTTTTGCTCTCACCCTGGACACCCCTTGAACCCCCCTTGGACCCCCCTTGGACCCCCCTTGGACCCCCCTTGGAGCTCCCTTGGATCAGCTGCCCCCCGTCCACAATGAAGCCGCAGAATGAAAAAGTCTGACCGGAAAAAAAAATCAAAAATAAAGAAGGAAAGAAAGAAGGAAAGAAAGAAGGAAAGAAAGAAGTCCAACTGAAATATTGTAGGCAACATCCGCGGGCCCATCCGAAGGTCCCATCAATTTTTACAACTTTAAATACCAGCAGGAAGTATCTTAAGAATCCCCCTGCCCCAAACCCCCCACCACCCCTAGAGCAACATTTCGAATGCGTTCGGCAATAAGAAAAAAGTCATAACAAAATTTTACGACAACTTTGGCGGCGTTTTCATTTCGGGACATGGTAGTTGTAGCGGTGGCTCGGTGGCTGGGTGGCTGGGTGGCTCGGCAGGGGGATTGGGTGGTGCGGAGTGGTTCTGTGGATGGATGCAAAATGCAAAACAAAAGGAAAATTACCAAACACCATGGCGAGAGGCAGTGGAAGATATCCAACAGACCAACAAACCAAACGAGAACAGACCTCAAGGAAAAGCATCAGCAGCAGCAGCAGCATCAGAATTCTAATGGCTTCACAGCCGTCCCGTTGGTGTTGGTTCGCGGGGGAGCGGGGGGCAAGGTGTGGGGGCATATAATAATCATCTATATTCATGGATTAGGATTCAATTTTTATGCCACACGCGAAACACAGAGCGGAACCAAGAGAACCAAGCGGACCCCCACTCACACACACACACACAGACCAGCAGAGAGTGGGCGGCAATGGGTGGGTGGCAGGCATACGTACAACAATGAGGGTTAAATTGAAAATAAAGCGTTACCCAAAGATGCCACAGATACAGCTCACGGCAGAGCGAAAGAGAGAGAGAGAGCGCGAAAAAAAACACACACACAAAATTATTCAAAAATTTATGCAAGGAAAATATTACCAAAGAGCTAATAATTTTCTCCATCCATTGGCCCGGCCCGTTCGTTCGTTCGTTCGCTCTCGTTCCAAAGGTGGCAAAAGCGCCGCGTGGGGGCCACCGCTAGCAGCCGGGGGAGTGGGTGGATGGCTTGCTTTGGTTGTTTAAATGGGCGGATTGGCGCGGTGGGGGGGGGGGTGTTATACCCAGGGTTTTGTATTAATGAATAATATCGCGGCTAAGGCGCAGGCAGCGGCAGCGGCCTGAGCAGAGTTTTTGTGGCACGCCACAGGGGTTAATAAGTAATCTGCATTTTTTGACATTTATTTATGTCTTCAAATATGTGCGAGGCGTAGCAAGGAACGCGTGGAAGGCACACCACCCCAGCCACCCACTTTGACTTCGCTCTCCCTCGCACTGCCTGACTGTAGGCGTGCTTTTTCTTTGCTCTCCGTCCGTCTCCATATATCTATCTGCTATATCTTTCGCTGCCTGGCAGTGGCAGAGGCAGAGACAGAGACTGAGGCAGTGGCAGAGGCAGAGACTGAAAGCAAGTGGCATTTCCCAGAGAAATCCAACAGCTGTTCAAAGTGTCATTAGAGAAAAATATGCCAGAGACAAAGTCCTCAGAGTGGCCTGCTGTTTTGCTCCCTCCCCCCACCCCCTTGCTCGCACTCTTCTTTGCTTTCATTTCTTCTCTGATTCGCCAGCTCGCTGTATCTTCGCTTCACTCAGTTGTCTGGTTGTCTGGCAAGGTGCAACAGGCACTCGAGAGCTGGCATTCGAGAACTATTCCAGGGAAACAGATTCCCCCTTTGCCCAGTTTCTCCATGGATTCAACTCTCTGGCTCCTGCAGCCCCCTTAGGTATTAAGTCTCCTTCGCTGCTGCTGCTCCATTGAGAGCCGTAGCGTAGGTGTTTCTGGGGCGTGTGGGGGGATTGGGGATTGG